TGCTACTAGGCAATATATCTATGTAATACAACTGCACTTGTCCCCCTAAACCCATATAAAACCTCATAGTTACTTAAGGGCTCAGCTAGATATACAATTCCACATGAGAAATATAATTTTCCCTGAATAATTGCAAACATTGCTCCAATGTCTTACTGCTGAGAATTTTTTTTTGTTGAGAAGTTCATAACTATCTACTGTATTTTCTTTCTGAAGGTTTTTTAATAATTAAAAAATGCTCCCCTAGCGTTCTGAAATTTTACAATGATGAGCCTCGGCACAGGTCTATTTTCAACCTCAGTGCTGGACACAGGGTATCTTTCAATTTAGAAGCTCATTTTTATCTCTGAGTCCCAGGTAGCTAATCTTAGCAGTCACTCAATAAATGATGATTGAATCAGACTAAACCGAGTAAGAGTTCATATAAAGAAAATTCCCTCCTCCTGGGATGTCCTGCTTCTACAGCATCTTCACAAAGTGACATTCTGCCCATCTACCAAGATCTGACCTATGCCCTCTTCGATTCTTCCAGTCTTTCCTTGTAGCGCTTAACTGCACCTACCATTTGCTCTTGTGGTATCTGTTTAATCGCTTATGTTAATTCTATGTAATCTTAGACTGTACACTCCTGGAGGGCAGATACCTAGTCTTATACATCTTTGTGTACTATCTACCACCTCCATACCACTCCCAAGAATCTAACTCAGCACTTAGCACTATGCAGTTCTTAATAAATATCTGTTGAATGAATTAATAAATAAATAAGGAATACATAAAAGAAATTAGAAAACTATTGCCTTTCAGAAAAAATCCTGTCACACAAACCTGACAAAAACAAGAAATGAGGAAAGGATTCACTATTTAATAAACGGTGTTGGGAAAACTGGCTAGCCAAATGCAGAAAACTGAAACTGGACCCCTTCCTTACATCTTATACAAAAATTAACTCAAGATGGATTAAAGACTTAAACTTAAGACCTAAAATCATAAAAACCCTAGAAGAAATCCTAGGCAATACCATTCAGGACATAGGCATGGGCAAAGACTTCATGACCAAAACACCAAAAGCAATGGCAACAAAAGCCAAAATTGACAAATGGGATCTAATTCAACTAAAGAGCTTCTGCACAGGAAAAGAAACTATCATCAGAGTGAACAGGTAACATACAGAATGGGAGAAAAGTATTGCAATCTACCCATTTGACAAACGGTTAATATCCAGAATCTACAAAGAATTTAAACAAATTTACAAGAAAAAAGCAACAATCCCATCAAAAAGTGGGCAAAGGATGTAAACAGACACTTCTCAAAAGAAGACATTTATGTGGCCAACAAACATACGAAAAAAGACTCATCATCATTGGTCATTAGAGAAATACAAATCAAACCCACAATGAGATACCATCTCATACCAGTTAGAATGACGATCATTAAAAAGTCAGGAAACAACAGATGCTGGAGAGGATGTGGAGAAATAGGAACGCTTTTACACTGTTGGTGGGAGTGTAAATTAGTTCAACCATTGTGGGAGACAGTGTGGTGATTCCTCAAGGATCTAGAACCAGAAATACCATTTGACACAGCAATCCCATTACTGAGTATGTACCCAAAAGATTATAAATCATTCTACTATAATGACATTATGCACATGAATGTTTATTGCAGCACTGTTCACAATAGCAGAGACTTGGAATCAACCCACATGTCCATCAATGATAGATAGGATAAAGAAAATGTGGCACATATACACCATGAAATACTATGCAGCCATTAAAGAGGATAAGTTCATGTCCTTTTCACGGACATGGATGAAGCTGGAAACCATCATTCTCAGCAAACTAACACAGGAACAGAAAACCAAACACTGCATGTTCTCACTCATAAGTGGGAGTTAAACGATGAGAACACATGGACACAAGGAGGGGAATATCACACACCAGGGCCTGTTGGGGGGTGGGAGGCTAGAGGAGGGATAGCATTAGGAGAAATACCTAATGTAGATGACATGTTTATGGGTGCAGCAAAGCACCATGGCAAGTGTATACCTAGGTAACACACTTGCACGTTCTGCACATGTATCCAACAGCTTAAAGTATAATAAAGAGAAGAAAGAAAAGAAAAAATCCTGTCACAGAAATTCCGAGTAACTAAGGAATGACTTCAGCTAATGAACAAACATGATCCCTACAGTTAAAAATAAAACAGAAATCTGTTTATTTCAATTAAGGAAGAATGCTTATACAAAAATGGACCTGCAAGGTGTGATGAAAAGTAAATCCTCGAGTCATGTTTCTAAGTCTCAAAACACAGTAGAAACAGCTACTTGAAAATGCCAATTGAATACTTGTTTTTCTGTTAATTTTCACCACTGTGTGTATAATGCAGTGGATTTTGAACTCTATTGGCATTGACTTAGGCAGAGTTATTAATGTTATTTAAGGAAAGTATGTAAGCAATAAGATTTACAACTGGTCCACAAAATTATTTTCCAGATTAACTTTATTTCACCTGTGTGTAGTGAAATTTAATGTAATACTTCTAGAGAAGACTGTAAGTATTGCAAACTGAATCTTAAGGCAATAAAATTTCTTTACAAAATTGAGAGTGGACTAATATAAAAAAGAAATGTGCAGTCTTGAGTATATCACAATAATGCGTCACTGTAGCTACAGGCAGTGTGTCAGGCATCACCATCAAGCACTGATAGAAGAAATCCAGTGTAGTTTTCCTGTTGACCTATCAATTGACCGTGACTGCTGCACTACTCTCAGTGGCAATGTTTAGCTCAGTCTGTGTGCCATAACTGTTTCCAAAGCATGCATGGAATATGATTCATTGACTTTTTCAGGTAACTAGACTCAATAAAAAATGTTGACATATTGATCTAGTCATAATGAATGCTTTGGCATCAAGTATAAATCTTAAATCTAAAAGTAATTCTCCAATATACAAAACATCCTTAAGACAAAGATAGACAAAGTAGTGTATTTGTTGCTCCATATTAAAGCTCTAGTCACATTGGAAGAAAAAAAAAAGAGAAGAATTTAGAAAATGATCTACATGCATCAAGATCAAAATAAACAACAATAGAAACTGGCCTTGGTTAGTTCCATTGTGCAGGATTTTTGGCCTGCAAGACCTGCATAATTTCCTCAGGATTTATTTCTAACTTATATCCATAGATGAGAATTTTTTGTTTTGCCTCATTCTCCAAATATACCTTTTTCTTTTTCAACTGTTTTATAAGACGAGATCTTAGAGCTATTGTAGCCTGTCTATGTGTTGTTCTTAAAACTAGCTCCAAATTAATGAACCCTACTACGTGGCAGCCATATAATCTATGTTACCTCATTAATTCTGATAACATTCCTTTGAAAGATGTCATCAGACCCATACTACAGACAAGAAAACTGAAGCCAAAGAGATAAAATAACCAGTCCAAGGTCTGAAATTAATGAGTTCCTAAGCCTATATTTGAACCTTGGTCCAAAGTCAATTCCCCTTTAAAATGCTCATTGCTACTTTTATGTTATTATAACACAAAAGAGGTGCTGGTATTGACTGGCAATAGTCCCAGCCCTGTGATTTTATTTTCCAGCTGTTCAGTCATCTCATGGCGCCCTAATATTTGCAATAAAAATAAACACTTTTGTGGCTGTCTGCTAGAGGCAGGGGTGCAGTCTTGGCCACACACATCAAGGCAATTGCTGAGTGTCTGTCCTGTACCCGGTCCTGTGCTGAGTCTAGCGGGAGCTACACAACACTGGAAGACCCAGTTCCCTTCCTTGGTAAATTAAGCTGAACGGAGATTGTTTCTTTTTAAAGTTCCTGTATTTCTCAAGTATTTCACCAGTGGCAATTGGAATGATTTTCGGTGGCTCATTGATCTCTGAATTAAGTAATATTGAATCTCAAAGAGAGATGTATTCTCTTTTCCATCCTTCCAACAACCATCAAGGATAATGACTCAGTTTGGTGCTAATACGCTTTTAAAACTACTGCTAATCTCTTTTGCCAATAAAATGAAAGCAGTCATTTGGCTCAGAGCCTTTGGCAAGCAACAGAGAATTTATTTTATTGGCGTTTCTATTTATGACAATTGATATGCTAATTTTCTATTTGTGATAGTGTTAAAATTTTCCTTTCTAAATGAATTTAGGATAAAAGTGAGTCAATTAAAATAAAGGTATTTTAAAAATAATAACGCAGGCATATGCAATATGGGCAAGGATATGGCAAGAAAAGTTCACTCTGTAAGATGAAAGACTGCAACACAACCCAAAGGGAGTAGGCAGGGTCTTAGGAAGCCTAGCCTGCAGCCCCTCTTGGGACTGGGCTCATCCCAGCTCAATTGTAGAGAAAAGCTGTCTCCAGCTTCTGTGAAGAATGAAAAGTAAAAAATTCTTTTCAATAGAAGAGAAATTGTGCACTAAAAATTACTCATGTAAGCTTGTTCTCAGTAACTAGATGCTATCCTAAATAAGTAGAGTGACCAACAGATGACTTTCATTCCAGGCAAACTCTAAATGCCTTCTGGAAATAAGAGTTGTTTATACAAGATACCGATAATAAACCTTGGCAACATGGTTCCAGTAATTAAAAAGAGTTTCATTTGAAGAGCTCAAACCAGAATAAGCGGGAAATCCATTTGCTACTTAGTTGCAACAGCTAAGGAGGGTCTTACCTCTTGTTTAACCTTTCTCCTTTAATGAGCATATCTACAACCTTTCTCCCATGAGCGTGTCAACAATGCCAAGCTCTGTCCATTCAGGACCTCAGTCCTGCCGTTCCCTCAGCTCCGAACCCTCTCCTTCCTGGCTTTTCACCTAGCTTAGTGGTCGCCTCCTCACAGAGGCCTCCGTTGAACAACTTAATTCCATCTTCCCTCCATATTTTTTCTCTTCTGCTGCATATTGTTTTTCTTCATAGCTTTTACCATAGCTTGGAATTATTTATGCGTTGATTTTTCTTTTTTTCTGTCTCTTCTTTCATACTTTAAGGTCTCTGATGGCAAACACTGCATCTGTTTAGAGATAGTCATATCTCCAGCACCTGGCCCAGAAGGCCTTCAACATGTGTTGCAGAAACAAAGAGGGGATGAGGCACGGAGCTCCTGAAGTTGGAGGAAGCAGAGGCCACGTGGGGAGGAAAATGACAGCAAATACGAAGCACTCACTCCAGAGATATAGGGGACAACAAAAGAATCCCTCTGGGTCCAAAACAGAAAATGAAAGTGAGGAAGACGGCTGCGAATAACATGACAGAATAAACTTCCCCTCATTCTCGATATTTGTAAGACAATAGGGAATAGTGGGGATATTTAATGACCTGAAGAAAGGATGACCCGACCCCCCTAAAGACAGTGGATGGAACTTAGCTCCGAGTAATATTTGGGAGGAAGAAAGAAGAGGCCAATAGGACTAGACCTTGATTTCTTCAAGAAAAGCTAGAAATCTAAATGTTTTTGTGAATTCTGCTTATTTTTAATGCTGGAAACTAAATCAAAGTGTTTAAAACATTGTAGTGGCCAATATTGAATGAGCTAAACATACATATCTGGGCTGCCACTTTGTGACCCATATGCTGTTGTGAAAACCTCTATTGTCTTTGCAGATTTTCCTAGTGGCAAAATCTCCTACAAGTATAAAGTCACAGTAACATATAACTACTTCTCAGCACCCACTCCCACCATTTGGAAATCTAGATGGTTTAACATTCAACTTTTCCAAGAACACAAGAATATCAAGACTATTGTTCTGAATTCCCTTGCAAATCCATGTTGGTTCGATAATCTCCCTTTTAATATGCCCAACTTATTTCATTCATTAATTTACTTAAACAATTGAGTGCCTACCCTGTACCAGAAACTGGCATAAAATTGTAAGTAATGTGGACATGTTCTTGGCTTCCTTGGGCTTCTGTGTCATGAGGGATCTAGAGAGGTAGTTACAGAGTCTCGCTGTGTCCCCACCCAAATCTCATCTTGAATTGTAGTTCTCATAATCCCCGCTTGTGGGAGGGAGCAGGTAGAGATAATTGAATCATGGGGGCAGTTTCCCCATTCTGTTCTCATAATAGTGAGTTCTCATGAGATCTGATGGTTTTATAAGGGGCTTTTGCCCCTTTTGCTTTGCATTTCTCTTTCCTACCATTGTGTGAAGAAGTATGTGTTTGCTTCCCCTTCTGCCATGATTGTAAGTTTCCTGAGGCCTTCTCAACCCTGTGGAACTGTGAGTCAGTTAAATCTCTTTCCTTTATAAATTACCGAGTCTTAGGTATGTCTTTATTAGCAGTGTGAGAACAGACTAATGCAGGTAGACAGCAGTTATATTGCTACCACCCAGAGGTTATTAGCATCCTCCCTGATTTCTCCTTCTCCATCATTCCTCGCACCAAATCAATCCTCCCATCTGACTGATTCTTAGATCTCTCAAAGCTCCCCATTCCTCTTTGCTTCAGATCCATTTCTGCTGCTCTAGCCCACGTCAACATCGTTCTCATTTAAACTACCAAAACAACACTTTAATTCACCTCTCTCTCTTTCTACCCTTTGACCATCTGCCATGGTCTGCCCTCAACACAACAGCTGGCATAATCCTCTTTAAAAAGGAGCTAAATCATGTAATCCTTGTATTCAAAACTCTCCAATAACTTTCCATGTCACTCGGAGTAAAGCTCTTAGAGTGGCAACGCGGCCCTGGATATGGCTACATTCCTTCCTCGTCTCCTCACATGTTACACCTCACCTATGTTGCTCCAGCCACCCTGGCTGCCTTCTCAAACGTACTAAACTCACTCCTACCCCAGTGCCTTCACCCTCGCTCTTCTCTCTACCTGGCGTAGTCTTCTTCCCACCTGCACACTTTGCACAAGCAAATCTCTTGGCATTCTTGACTCTCTTTCCTCTTCCAATTTGAATTACATTTTTTGAAGGAGTCCGGATGGTCTGTCATCTTCCTCAATCCAGAATGAACCGTCACTGTCCTCCACTTGGAAGCCACCACACCCAACAAAAGGATGGTGCGGGAACACACACCTGACCAAGGCCACATAGGAAGGCAGCTGTCATTTTTCCCTATTAGGGGTTTATAAGTCATTTGTGCAGCTTGTAATTGGATTTTCAAACTTAACTCATTTTATCCTTTTTACATTCCTGATTTTGCTTTGGAAAGTTAATGAAGGATGATGTATATTTACATAACAGGAAATTGTCAGGATAAATCTTACTGCTCTCTGATTTCCTGGGTTAACGGCTCGCCCAGTCTGTTGTCATATAGAGCAGAGATTGGGAAACTATGGCCCCAGGGCCAAATCTGTCCAGTCACCTATTTTTGTACAGCCACAAAGTTAAGAATGGTGGTTACTTTTTAAAATAGTTGAAAAAAGTTGAGACTAATGGTAATATTTTGTAAGACAGGAAAATGTTATAAAATTCAAATTTCAATGTTCATAATGAAATTTTACTGGAATGCAGCCACACTCATTTGTTTATATGTTGTCTATGGCCGCTTTGACACTATACTGGCAGAGTCAAACAGTTGCAAAAGATACCGTATGGCCTGCAAAGCCTAAAATACTTACTATCTGGCTCTTTACAGAAACTTAGATCTAGAGAAGTCATTATTACACTTTGAGATTTCATGAATCAGTAAAATTTAAGGATGGAGGAGGAGGGTAAACACATAGTTGCCAACTTTCAGGTTTTTGCCAAGGAAAGACACAAACAAATCTTGCTATCTGTCATCACCCACCACAATTTAATAAAAGAAAGAATAGCATAAAAAAGTAAGAATGGATATAATTTCAGAAGAAAGGGGAATCTTACACAGTTACAAGCTCAGGCCTTTACCATTAATTCTAACTACTTTGAGTCCAGGGTCCAGCTTTCTCCATGTGTGGGAAATGGGCCTCATTGTGTAAGCCTTTTAATCTTTAGTGTCCTTGATTTAAACTTTTAAGGGATGTCATAAGAATTTTCAAAATGAATTATTTGTTAGTATTATTAATTACTTCAATAAACTGACAAGATTCTAGGTTCCCCAACTCTCCCACATCATGTTTATCCAGCTCACACCCTCAGATCTCACCCTATTAAAATTGCCCGTAACATGGGAATTATGTCAGTTTTTGGCATTCAGCATATATTGCTTTTAATTATTTATTACCTTTTTTTATGCGTTCTAGGTACCAAATTAGTTTAATGTCCTTGAAGGTGGTTTGAAGGTGGAGACTAAATGTGTAAACTTTTTCATGTTTTGGTACCTAATGTGATGCCAAGAATAAAATGAGTGCTTCTATACTGGATACAGTTTGTCCCCAGGATTGAGGAATATCCTAGCTCCCAACACTGTCCCTTCTGCTTAATCCATGGAAAATACTAAGGGTGAGAAATGAATAAAATCATCAGTTGTTTCTCCTTACCAGAAATAAATGTCTGCTTTCCAGACCTGGTTAGGGTGCTCCAGTCTTGGCAATACAAACATGACAGAAGGCCTCCTTGTGTTAAGGAGATGACCACCCTTTTGACATCATTCATTTCTCTTGTGGTTGTGTATTGTAATGTAGATCTCAAACTCAGGAGCATTTTGTGTGCCAACCATGTGGTGCAAAGTCAGGTAAAGTCCCTGTCAAAAATGGGGCACTGGGTTAATAAAGCCTGTGATCCTCCAGAAATAACATCAACAGGAAAATTAATATAGTAGTTGAAATGTACAATTTGCTGACTTAGAAAAAAGTGGGCCATGATGGCTTTAAAAAATTAAGTATAATAATTACAGGATTCAGCTGCTTAAACTTTAATTCGACAGAGGACCAGAGAGCCCTCAGAACTCCCATGGAGTTTTCTCTCTCTCTCTCTCTGCTGGAGCCAACCCTGCAGAATAATTAAGAAATAATTTCTGAGTAGCCACACATGTAGGCAATCAGATCTAATATAGGAAACACCTGCTTTTACTTAATTCTGGACTGCTTACTAATAGAACATATTTATCTTGGGACATTGTGTTTGCTTGTGTAATTATGCATAGCACATTTTCGGATTTTACTGCAGATTGGCCCTGAAATCAGTTTTGAGTGTGTCTAGGTAAGCAAGACACAAAAAGCCTCCCTCATCTTCTGTACAAACAGACGTAAGCAGAACAAGGCTCCACCTTCCCTTCTGCCCACACTATGCGGTGCAAACAGGAAGCAGTGAACAGCTTTGATCTTTCCAGGCTTAGCAACCAATGTTTTTTAGTTAACAGTTCTAGACCCATCCAGCCAAAAGGGGTAGAAAATACACAGGTCAACAGCTAGACAAATAGCGCTGGCAAGTAGCCCTGACGCCACTGAAGTAGAAGAGGCTTCGATTCGGTGGGATGATCCTCTTCAAGTGGTTGGAGTTTCAATGTCCTGCATATTAGCTGCACTTTGACAAGGGTTTTCATGACATAACCCAGAAGAAGAGGCTACTATGAGAGTCACAAAAGAATGAGAAGAGTCACTTGAGAACATGGAGAACATGGGCACAGAGAGAAGAATTGTAAGGAGAATATGATTAGAAAAGAAATAAAACTCAAATACTGGGAGGGGAACATGACACACTGGGGCCATTCAGGGGGTTCAAGGGGCAAAAGGGAGAGAGTATTAGGACAAATACCTAATGCACGTGGGTCTTAAAACCTAGATTACAGGTTGATAGGTGCAGCAAACCACCATGCACATGTATACCTATGCAACAAACCTGTACGTTCTGCACATGCGTCCCAGAACTTAAAGTAAAATAAATACATAAATTCTAAGTACAAAAAAAAAACCCCTCAAATACAAAGAATCAGGTTAGAATTAAAAGTGGCATTCGATAGCTCTGTTTGCATATGTAAATTGAAATGAGAACAGAGATAATGGAGTGGAAAAAGTCATGCTCGCGTAAAGTAGCTGCACTTTTATGGTAAAAGTATTTTTAGGCTTCAATTATCTCAGATTTTCCTCAATTTTATACTTGTTTGGGGTGGACAGAAATATGTGAACATATTAAACATAGTCACGATTTCTGTATAAACTATATGTCCGTCCATAGACCACAAGTTTTTTTGATAATAGCTTTATTGAGGTATAAGTCACATACTACAAAATTCACCCTTTTAAAGTGTATTATTTGGTAGGCTAGTTGCATCGTGTGCAACTATCACACACTACCTAATTTTAGAACATTCGTCTCCCTCCCGCAAAACCCCATATCCATTAGCAATCAATCACTCTCCATTGCCTCCTCCTCCAGCTTCTGGCAATACCAGTCTGCTTTCTGCTAGAGACACTGGAGATACTCTACATAAATGGAATCATACAGTATATGGCATTTTGTGTCTAGCTTCTTTCACTTAATGCAATGTTTTCAAGATTCCTCCATGCTGTAGCATATTTCATTACTTCATTCCTTGTTATGACTGAATAATTTCCATTTTATGTATTTTTTTTGCCCATTCATCAGCTGATGAACATTTGAATTGTTTCCACTTTTTGTCTATTACAAATAATGCTACTATGAACATGTGTAAACAAGTTTTTATCTGGACATCTTTTTGGTTATCTTGGGTATATAACAGTAGAATTGTTGGATCATATAGTACCTCTATATTTAACTTTTTGAGGAATTTTCTAGAACTGTTTCCAAAGCAGTTGCACGATTTTTCATTCGCATCGGGAAGGTAGGAAGGTTCTAATATCTCCACATCCTCACTTACACTGGTCGTTGACCATCTTTTTAATGATAGTGACGTGGTTAGATTAGATAGAATGATTCTGAATGAATCCTCGAGAATGGCCTATCGAGGTAAAACATGCCTTGGTCTCTCATTTTGTTTTATCATCTGATCCGTGTTATCTGAGGGTTCTAGATGAAATTTATTAAATTAATTATATATTTTTTGTCTTAATTTGAGGGTAGTTTTCCCTTCTCAACCATTAGTCAGTGAACATCACAGGTCATGTTTTAATACTTATCGCAGGTACAGGTCATGTTTTAGTCATTATTATAGGCG